TTAAGTTTGTTCTCAACTGATCAGTTTCAACAGTGGCTGAATCTGTATGCCCGTTCTGATTTACATACAGATTCAACTTAAGACCCCCAGGCGTCCCCAAGTTAGCTGCTGCTGAAACTGATCAGCAGCTGATTCCAGGAACCCCGGGGCAGAGAAACTCTGCCTCAGGCTTCCTGTAGTCAGCCGCTGGTCAGTTTCAGCAGCGGCTGAATATGGACGCCAGTTCCGACTTACATACAGATTCAACTTAAGAACAAACCTACAGTCCCTATCTTGTACATAACAGGGGGACTGCCTGTACAAAAATAAAATATTGGTTTACAGTAGATCATCATGTAGAAGCTTTTTTTAGTTGGTTGCATATAGTTGCTTCCTGTAGTCAGCCGCTGGTCAGTTTCAGCAGCGGCTGAATATGGACGCCAGTTCCGACTTACATACAGATTCAACTTAAGAACAAACCTACAGTCCCTATCTTGTACATAACAGGGGGACTGCCTGTACAAAAATAAAATATTGGTTTACAGTAGATCATCATGTAGAAGCTTTTTTTAGTTGGTTGCATATAGTTTTAAAGTCTCACTAAAAGGACATTTATTTTAATTAATTTTCAGCATGTTTACAGCATACAATAAGTAATGAACTTTATGTGCACTGAAGGTTGGAAAATGTTTTTGGAGCATAAGATGCTTAGGTTTTTTTAGTAGAAAAATCTTTATTTTCCCCTCTGGTATTGTATATTATTGATCACTTATTTGGCTGCACAAACTGCTGTTCTACACTAGATACATACTTTGATTATGGAATTTGTGTTTAGTTCAATTGATAGTTTTCTATGCGTGGTATTACTTTGTCTTGCACAGCATCAAACAACAAGACATTTGGATCTTCTACTATGTTTCTGGAGATAGTTGGAACTGTGCTGTTTCCAAAGGCATGATTTCAAAGTTGTCTGTCTCCAGAGAAAACAAAGGTTTTAGAACCTGGTAATTTGCAGTTTGGTATTACATTTTTAGGTAGCTCAGTGGAATGAGGGAGAAATGAAAACCCAGCTGGAAAATATAGCTGATTGACTTGTGAAATCCCCAGGAACAATACCAAAATAACATTATATCATGCACCTTTTAAACATTTATAATGTGTGACATCACCAGATTAGTACTGTACACTTTATACTTTGTCTAATTCATACTTATAAAATTATCGTGTTGTTTTCTGTATCTTAGTTTCTGGCTGTTACTTTTGCCATCACAGCCATGTTGTCTTCCCTTCTGTCTCAAAAATGAAAAAACAGTTTTCTTTTTCGGAAAACATTTGTGTTGCAAAATTGTATTATGAGCTAATATGGTTCGGTGATATAGTATTGAGGCAGAATTTCTTTATTGCCAAAATGAGTAAATATGAAATGACGAGTAGTTATCAAACTTTTCCAATAGCTAGACCACATCTTAATACAGAGATTATCTCACACACCGTTCCCTGTTCCCGTCAGGCTTGCATTGGCTACCTCCCATTTGCTGTTACATAATACACGGCAACTACAGCAGTTATGCTTATACATTAAAGTATTGTATTTTTGACTGCCTTTTAATGAAGTTTGGCAGTTGGAGAGAAGGTACAGCCAGTGGACAGCTTAGTGATCCGCACACCACAATTTGACAATCTCTGGAATAACTATAGAAATAACTACATTATTAAAGTTGCAAGATCCCTACTGTGTGTTTGGAAAACTTTGTGGGTTGTAATGGCTTTTTCAAAAGTGGGGACAAACCAAGTGAATTTCCTGGCAATTTCCTTTTGTGAAAAGTCTGTGCTTGTGTTTTGTCTGGTAAAAGGTTCTGCTGAGTGGTGCCGTCACAGAACGTTGAGTTTGTTCTCCACTTACTATATGTTAACACGTTCATTTTGAATGTGGCATTCAGAAACTTTTAATTGGTGTATGTTCCAATTACTCAGGCAAAGAGGATGGGTAGCAGCAGAAAGAGCAAAACAAGTTGAAGAATTCTGGCAACGAAAGAGGGAAGCTATGCAAAACAAAGCTCGTGCCGAGGGACATATGGTACGGGATTTGGTCTTCATATTTATTTTCTGTATTGATTGTAAGATATGAATATATATCCTTTTGAAACGTGAAATGTAATGTTTCATTTTCCAACCATTGATATTCTGGTTTTATGGTTAACTTTTGCAGATATATCTTCTAGTAACAGTTGCATATTGTTGGAGTTGTTAAAATTTATTTTGAAGTTATAAATGTAAGGAGATAAGAACTGGAAAAGAATGTTTACATTGATAGGTACATTTAAAATTAATGATGAAAACTGTATGCATAGTTCAGCATTTTGCAGTTTAGGGTAAGTTTGTCCAGTGTAATGTCTCTGCTTCGCTCACTTGATATTTTAAAATAACCCATTTGTATATTAAGTTATTTTTAAATAAAATGCATTAGACGCATTTTTACTGAATATGCTTTAAACATATGTATAAATTCTTCAACATCAAAGTTAAAATCAACAAGTTTTAACTTTTAATGATGGTTAAAACTTTTGAACAGTGGCAAAACATGTGAATGAATTACCTTTTGGGTTCAAATGGTTGTTGGTTATAAATGTAATACACCTTTAGAAAGATTTTACAATACTTCAGCTGTATGATATAACTTGAGTTTACTTAGGACTAATACACTGTTCTGTTGATCTACGTTTAGTTTTGAATTGGCAGTGGGATTTGAGTTTTCTAAGACCAGTCCACACCACAAATGCAACCAAGTCAGGAATCCTGTTAGAATACTATTGTCCTTAGACCCAGGTGGAGCTGGTTGCAATTGGGTGGAAGGGATGACAATGTTGCTAATGAGTCCTTTTACTCAGGTCCTACTGAGTACTGTTTACTGGGCACTTTTGGATTTCAGGGTTAATTTTGCTGCCAGCAGGCAGATTCCTTGTGTATCTTTACTTTAATGTTGATGATTACTATACTTAACTTTGCTGATGTGTGAGGGTATGTCTACACTAGCCCCCTAGTTTGAACTAGGGAGACTAATGTAGGCATTTAAATATCCCACGCTTGATTTGCATCTTCCCAGCTGGTCGCCATTTTTTGAAATTTACAAGTCCGGACTAACTGCCCGCGTCTACACGCAACAGGGACCCGGTATTTCGAATTAAAGCCCTAAATCAAACTACCTGTTAAACCTCCTTGCAGGAGGAATAAATCCTGGGCTTGATTTGCAATTTCGAATGCCTACATTAGCCTTCCTAGTTCGAACTAGGGGGCTAGTGTAGACATACTCTGAGAGGCTTACGTAGTGTGAAGCATGCTTAAGAAGTTTGTTAGTGTCTTTGTCTTAAGATGACATGACAGATGCTACCTTTCAAAATCATAACTCATATCAGCAAGTGACCTTTATGACACACATGATCTACATTTATTTAGGACAAGGCTAACTGTTCAGAGATGAGTTCAGTGTTCATTATTCATTCAGTAATTGGCCTTGGTTGCAGTTAATGTAATGAAGAAATCAGCAACATTGCCTACTTACTATATGAGATTTAATGATGTGAACATTGGCTTTTTAGGAGTTAAGTGAAGCTATTTGAAAGTCATAAACTAAGATATCAAACCAGATTTCAGATAAATGTAGTTAATGTAGATCATACGTAAGCTAAAAGTCTAGAGCTCAATAACTGAATCTGCAGCTCCCTCAACCATCCCTACTGTGAGTTGTGTTTCTGCCTAGATAAATTTGCTATTTAGCATTATGAAATTCAAATCCTTGCTGTATAGTGTTCTAATATTCATATTCTGGGAGGACTTCAACTATGATACAGTGAGTGAAGCACTATGCACTGTGTCCAATTACATACCTAAATTCTTAAAGCTTTTATTTCCAGTTTCTTTCTCACTTAGAGACAACTTCTGATCTGAAACACCATGCCTCCAAAGCCACCAGATTAATTTTGAGCTAATTTAAATATAAACATGAAAAGCACACTTACGAAAATTGAGGTAAAGCCAATAGGTACTATGTGTTATCCAGCTGTATAAAAGTTGGGAATTGAAATTCCCTTTCTACCCTCCATCGTCCGTCCCCCCCTTTTCTTTGTGATGATATTTGGAAAACTATCCGTTCAGCTCAGCTACTGTAGTTTTGAAAAGGTTAATGGTTAGAAACACTCCTCTTTTACTTCGAGGGCTTTTTTATTAGTCATAATTATTAGAATTGCATCTGGTCCTAGCAGATGGCCAGGTCCTAGGTAACTCAGGCTTCTTCCTTGCACTATGCAGTCCTCCTCTAGTGGTTGAATCACAAAGGTTTATAACAGTCTACTACAGCCTTTGAACTACTTTAATACAAAAGTTTCCAATCTGATCCCCACAATCACTAAAAATATGAAATACCGTGTTAAAAGTAGTAACCTCTGTAGGAATTTGAGGTGGGTGAACCTCTAAAGTTTCCTCAGCCATTCAGAGCATGTAACCTGCATCCAGTGTGGTGCTACATTCTTTTCTAGTGGCTAGACCATACAGTGATTTCTGTTAATTAAAAAACTCAATTTATTAACTCAGAGTCAACTTTTAGCTCAAGCTGGAGAGACTCACATCTTTAGATGCAGAGGTCCCAGAGCCTATTCCTTCTTCTGATGATGCACCCATGGACATCTCATTATGTGAACTTGCATTTTATTTTAATATGTATTTTTTTACTTATAAGATAGTCTTAAGTGAATTGACTGACTGTGCAAATTAGAATTACTGTTCAGGTTTTTCAAATTTCAAGCACAACTAGAAAAATGTTGAAAAATGTGAAATTTTAAAGTTTTTATGCAGTTGTCTTGAAGAGCTTTATTATATTGTGAAGTCCTTGGTTTAATTTTTGGCTTCCTTACTTTTTGTATTAGTGTGAGTGTGTGTGTTGTGCAAAAATTACTATCATAAAACCTTTCTTCACACAAGAAGTCTTACGTTAGTGTTGTGTGAATAAAGGTTCACTAGTTTGGGGCCACAGTTAGGGTTGCCAGTTCTGAACCAGACAGTCCGATTTTTGAGCTTTCTGTCTGGGAAACAAATTGAGAAAATACTGGACATAGAAATGTCTAGTATTTTCTAATTAAATAAGTTTTATTATTATCATGATTATCAGTACATAGTTGTGTACTGCCTGGCTGGTAGAAGTGCTCACGGTGCGTGAGTGTGTCTACCAGCCACGCAGTATGCAACTACTCAGTAGAGCCAGGGGGCGGGATGGAATCCCTGGGGCCGGACCCGCCCCTGCGCTCTGCTGGGACCATGAGCAGGACAGGCCAGCACTTGAGATCTATGTGTGCCTGGGCCAGCCCCGCTTCCCACTGTCTGGCTCCCACTGGCCTGTTTTCCCCTCCCACCCCACTCTACTCCCCCCCCA